GCTTAAGGCGAGTCATCTTGCCAAATAGTGAGCCCACATTTATCTGTAGGCTACTAAGCCTTATTAGAAATGGTAGTAACTCATTAATAAATGGGAATGTGTTTTACACTTTACAATCTAATAAGGCTTAGTAGCCTACAGATAAATGTGGGCTCACTATTTGGCAANTCATTTGCTAATAATCAATCAGATCAAAGTTTCCTCTTCTCTGGAATCCATCGAAGGGCTTTCTCTCAAAATGATGACTCGGTGACAGTCATTATATAATGTGACATATTTTGCTTAATATTTGGAGGAGTACAACAACAATCCTGATATCATTAGAAAGCTAGGAATCTCCTCTTTCCAACACGGTATACAACTCCAAATGTGTCTTCGGGTCAATGCGACTGATTTCGATGGAGCAGGTCACTTTGCATTAGGTAAAATAAAGCAGGCAGACATAACAGGAAGAATATGCACATTTTAACCCAATGAAATAGGACATCGTCACACCAGTTATGTCTGCCTGCTTTATTTTACCTAATGCAAAGTGACCTGCTCCATCNTGTTGTGTTTCTTGGAAGGATGAAAGGGTTAATTAAGTAGATGTTGAATGAATGGTGTGTGAGAGAAAATGGAAGGGAAAGGAGCTGTGGCGTGTTTGGCTGTGACAGAGAAGAAGGAACTGAAGTGCCAATGTGAATCTATTAAACTAAGTTCTGAGCCGAGCCAAGGCGTTGCGGCCAGATAGGAGGAACATTGCCCATTCGAGGGTAAAATGTTCTGACGTGTGCCACATAATGATGGAGGACAACAAAAAGGGAACATAAACCTTGTTGTCATACAGCGTGAAGATAAGGGAGATATTTTGGAGGACCTTCGTAAATGGCAGCACCATTATTGAGCTGGATGGGTCTGTGCTTCAACTTTGGAAAGATGACATAAGAGAAACTATTTTCAGTGAAAAACGGTACAGTTTATGTTTTGATTTGTTTGAGTTTTGGTTTGTTCTTCTTGTTTATTGGGTTTTACAATCATTTTATGTCTGTGTTTCATACAACTTATATTACAAGCTACTATTGTATAATATTAAATGTGTGTCTTTTTACTTAGCTGTAAGTAATTTATGTTGATTATGTCATCTTCTTTCGACTCCACCTTCGATCGATAGGATTACTAACAAAGCACTTTATACTAATTAAGAGGACTGGCTTATCCAAAACCAGGTTGAGTAGCACTTGAAATGTTTTGCTCTATGAAACCTTATATGATATATGATTCTGTTTTCTTCAAGTTTGTATCTTGTGGTCAACGCACTTATTGTAAGTTGGCTTTGGATAAAAGCGTCAGCTAATGTAATGTAATGTAACATATGTGTAGCACCACTATGCTAATGTGTTGGCTATGTTATATGTTGTTCGTTGGTGCTAGTTCTCACGGCGTGAAGGAGAGGGGAGCTACAAGTTTAGTAACTTGTAGCCTCCAAAGAACATGTCGGTGTCTTGAAGAGAGCTACAGCCACTTTTGATTTGATGATTGAGTCCTCCTGCTAGATTTACAAGACGGTTGGATCCTGCTTAGTTTCTGTTAATGAAGTACATTTTAAGCTTTCCATCTCTAAACTTTCCTGAAGAGAGATATGTTTTTTTGTTCGCCGTGAGTGCTGCATCTTACACCCATGGCTGCCTAAAGAAGCTAATCGTTGCTAAATCGGCTTAGCATGGTAGTCAGCAACAACAGCTATCCACATTGAAATCTGGAGAAGGATACACAAAGGATGCTGGGTAAACCAAAGGGACAAAGAAGGAAAACTGGGTCTAGATTTATGGAGCAAAGGAGATCTAAGCCATGTCATATCACTGGCTAATAATGGACGAGCTAACTGGCTAATAATGGACGAGCTAACGGTATTAGCCAAGAGTCAGAGGGAATATCTGGAGTTTAATTTAATGTGTTTTACGTAAACATGGAAGTCCCAGGAAATATCTGACAAAAATGTATTCTATTGATTGGACCGTCAATGCAATGTAATGTAAATGTTAAATGTCTATTTTTGATAGCCATTTAAAAAGGCGTTGGGACTCGAAATCCAATGGGGTTTCCCCGCGCAGGTTCAAACCCTGCTCACAGCGTCTGAAAATGTTTGCATATTTAAACCTTGCTTCAAATGAAAAAGGAGTGAAGATTGCTAAACATGAGGTCTCCTTCGCTAGAAAAAATGTGAAGCATTACATTTGAAAGTTAAAGAAAAATGAAATAACTATGCCTCATTGCACAGGAAATATACACACTTTAGATTGTTGACATGTTTCTACAAAATAAAATGGGACTTTTCCATTGGATTTTGGAACATAAAGGTGAGTTTGTGAGTTTGGGGCAATCACGGATGTGTTTGGGGAGTGACATGACACTACCACCGCTAAGCTAAAGGTGGCTAATGTTTGGCGTGGTGGTCGTCCCATTGAAACACTTGTTAGAAATCGCCATTTTTTTATCTACTAGTGGGGTATTTTGGAACGTATCTTTGTGTGCTAGAAAGCTTTCTGGGTTAAAGGACTCATTCCTGCACCACTATAGCGTTCTCCTAAACTGTTAAGAAATGAACACTCTATTTTATTTCATTTCTCCTCAGTGTTTGTAAAAGGCTCATTTGATCTCTCATCAGGCCGGCCCCTCTCCTCCATTGAGGTTTGAGGTGTCAGCTCCCTGCACCATTACAGACCTCTGAAGGAAGAGATAATCTTTAAATGAATTGCTCCCAAAATGATAATAGTTTCCAGAGGACTGTGATTAAACACTTTAATGATGGATTTGACCATTGCTTTCCACAGGGCACTGCAGAGCCTTCCTGGGGGAACGCTGTCATTATGGCTTCGTCTGAGAAATGCCTTTTAAAAATGTGAATCACATCGCTGTGATCACACGTTAAAATGTCAAGTGACTCTGAGCTTTGTGCACGGGGAGATTTTAAGATCAAGAAGGAAACACTTTTATTTTCATTAACATAGATGTAGTTTCCTCAAACTTCAAGGACAGTTTAAGTAGAAATTGGGTCTTATTTTCATGCATTTGTACAATTTTTTTTAAGCCATTCATTTATAAAAGATATACTAAATGTGCTATCTGAAGCAGTCACGTGGTATCGACGCGCAGCGAGGCTTCGTTTGTCATCAATGACGTCACTGGCTTAAAACGATGGCCGTTTCTCAATGTCGAGGATGCTTGCTTGGTAGCACATGTCTTCCGAGTCACTTGCTTCAGAAGCGAGGCAAGAATCCTTCCTGGCATTCGGAAAAAGAAGAGTGGAACAGGCTAGCAAGTGTGCAGGCGTGCGTCATATGAGAGGCCTTACATTTTCCGCCACAGATTTGGGGAAATATCCGTGCGCAAAGCATTGTGGGGATTTTAAGGACGCGAAGTCTACCCATGTGCAGCCTCGAAATTACCCCCAAACCAAGGACGCGGCCTCGGTGGAATTCCAAGTATGCTGGAGATTGGAACAGTTCTTCGGCGGCACTCGATGACGTAGCATCCTTGAAATATTGGCTTGGAAGCCAGTTTCCTCAAGATTGAGTAATGGCCCGTGCTGTCCGACTTCAGGCGAGCTTTTTGAGACCACCCCCGGCTGCGATCGGCTATTCTCGTCGCAGCTCGTCTCAAACAAGCCTATTGTGTTTCGAAACATGTTCTATGGCACATCTCTACTGGGAATTGTAGTTTTAAAAGACGTTTTCGTTTTTCCCACTATTAGAAGTTGCCAGTATTAAACTGTGTACACCCCTGGAGGTTTAGGAAACACATTGGTGTTGTCAAATTTAAAACAGATAATTAATAAATGGGTGAAAATCGCTTGTATCCATAATGGGCAGCATTAATATATACCCACATGACAGCTCATTGTTACTTTGTAATTCTACTCCACTACAATACAGAGGTTAACCTGGTATTTTTACTCCACTACACTTATTTGAGTTACTTTGCAGATTCTGATTAATGATGTGAAATATAAACAACCCTTAAATCAGACTTTAGTTACACCGGAGTACAATTCAGG